GACACCTCTACTCTCTAGGAGATGGGTAATAGGGAACAGGTCCCTGCCTCTCTGCTGAGCCCCATGTGTAGACAGCATGGCTGCGGCAGACAGATCGCGAGCCGGCCATCTCCCTGCGTGTGCGTGCGCGTGCGTCACTGCGCGTCGCGTGCGTGCGCCGCGTGCGGCGCGCCAAACATGAAACGGAGAGCGACGGGAGGATGTTTTTCTCTAGCATGAGCCTTGCGGAATCAATTCTTTCTTGCTTGCCAGTGTGCGCCAGTCCTGTGCCTAGTGTTGTCGATCGGCACTTCAAATTCTTCTTGGCGCCACTGTGCGAGCCTAACGCGCGCACCGCCCATTCTTGCGCCCCCGCCCTTTACGGGCTCACAGCCCACCCCCATGTGTAGACAGCATGCCTGGAGCCGGCCATCTCGCTGCGAGCTCGGGCGATTTTTTTCTAGCCATGGTCGCCTGGCGTGGTCCAAGCCTCCGCTGCCGCCGCCGCCGCCGCCTCACTTTATCGAGGCGCACGCCTCGTTCGTCGGAGTGCTGCTCTGCATCGCCGGCCCGCTCTCATGCTATCTCTTGCTTGGGCCGCCGCTGAAGGCCAGGGCTCCATCAAAGCAGCACGGCCGCGCCACGATGACGACGATCGACTGGCCTCGCTTATCCGTTGCGGCGGCGCAACAGAGCAGAGAGGTATTCGTCGGCTGCGTCGCGCTATTCCTCGCCCTGCGCACCGTCCTTCGCATCGCCACGGGGCACACCCGGACCGCCGGAGCCGTGACCTCGGGCGAGCAGGTGGTCGGCGATGCCGCGAGCTTGGCGGCGGACGTGATGGCGTACAACATCGTCTCTCTCGCCTTTGCCTGCTCGAGCAGCGCCCTCGGCGTCTTCGAGTGGCTGGGGCCCATCCACAAGGTCGGCGGCACAGCCCTCGATCGCTTGTACGGGCGCTCGCCGCTGGCGGAGCGCCTCTGCCGCCTGACCGCGGGCTACGAGTGCTTCAACCTCATCGCCGTCGTGCTGCTGCCCGAGTACCGCACCGCCGCCTTCATCGGCCACCACGCCGTCACCTGCTTCCTCGGCGTCCTCCCCGGCGCGCATATCCGACCCCCTCCCTGAGCCGTCCCCAGACCTGCTCGGAGGCCTCGAGTAGGCGTTCTCTCGATGCACCCGTGGTGCCACTACTACGCAACCTTCTTCTTCGGCGTGGCGAGATTTAGCCGAGATGCGGCCAAGAGCGCCGGGATCTCTTCGGCGTGGCGAGCCTCTCTGGCGGCTGCGTCGGCTCTCCATCAGCCATCACGGTACACAACGTGAATATGAGGCAGTGTCCGCTGGGCACGTTTTGCTAAGCGTATTTGCGCCTCCGTATTTGCAAATACAGGCGAACAAATAAGGCACGTGAAATCGAGTGTTTTGCTAGCGTATTTGCCGGGTGGCCGTATTTGCGGCGTCAAAGCAAACTTTTTGCAAGGAGCTCTTTCTCAAAATCTCGTGCACACATGTCCCTACATTATTCACACATGAATGCTCACAGGGGGGGGGGGGGCGGTAGCATGTAGCATATGCGCCACACGCCCCGACCGCTCGTCCTCTGGTCCGGCCGCCGGCCTCCGCGGTGGCGGCGATGTCGCAGCGCCACCCATCGGCCAGCCCTCAGATCGATCGATCAGCGCTCAAAGTCGGCTTCAGATCCGAGAACGCTGCTGGCGCCGCCGCCGATCCCAGCGGCGACGCCAGCAGCTTCCTCTGCTCTCCAACGTGCCGAGAAGCGACGCGGGGGTGCTCGGCCCGCAATGCACGACGAAGGGTCCGCCGGGCGCGCGTCGGCCGGTCCGGTGGCACCCTCTGCGCACGGCTGCCGGGGCCCCGACGACCGCCGTCGCGCCGCCGCTGATGGAGGGGCGGTCAGCGCCGCTGCCGCCGCGCCGCCGGTGGGAGGGGCACTGGTGGTGGCCTGGGCGGCCCTCCGCCGCCGCTCGACGCGCTGCGAGCAAGGGGAGAGATTGGGGGTCCAGAAGGACGGGGGGGGGGGGGTGCCCCACAAAACCCGTGAGGCGCCCGGGATTGGGGTTAGGGGGAGGTGCCAGGCGGGATGCAACCCAAGAACACCCATTGTTCATGTCCCGTCCAAGGGGGAGGGAGGGAAAAGGGGCCGGGAAAGGGGGTAAGGGAAGGCGGCGTGGCCGCTCGTCGACGATGCATCGTCCCACGCATCAGACCCCACACAGTGCCACGTCTGCATTCGCAACAATGAGCGAGACGAGCGAGGACGATCACCCGCCCAGCCAAAGTACGCACGCGGAGCGCGCGAGTAGCGTGCATGGGCCCGCGTAGAGCACCACCAGCCGCCCCTCCGACCACTTCATACTCTTCGCCTTGGAGGAAGGCTCCACCTCCACCACGTCGGGCTCGGGGCCGGCCGTGCCCGCCGTCCCGCCGACGCCCGCCCCAGTCTGGTCGGCCTGCGAGCGAGGGATGGACGCCGGTGGGTGCCGTGGGCCGGCCGTGGCCGGCTGTGGCCAGCTCGGGGCCAGATGCGCGCACCATGGTGCGTGGCAAATACAGATACGGCTGTATCTGTATGCGTGGCAAATACTGTTGCACGCGTCTCCGGAACTGCCGTATTTGCGCATACAGGGAGACATACAGCGGCAAATACGCTTAGCAAAACACCTCTGCTGTGTACGCAGGCGAGCCTCTCCAGCGTGCCGCTCTGCGTGGGCGAGCTCTTCAGCGCGGCGGGGCTCGAGGCCCTCGTCGAGGCGTCCAAGCCGCCCTTCGTGCTGCTCTTCCTGCTGCTGCGCACCGCCTACTGGCCGTACGTCTCGGCCGGCTTCTGGCAGGACTCGCTCTGGGCGCTGGCCAAGCCCCGCGACCGCGCGCACTCCCTCGTCGCGTACGCGGCTCTGCTGGGCGCCAATGTCTTCCTCACCGGGCTGCAGGTGTTCTGGACTGGGCAGATATGCGCCGCGGTCGGAGAGGCGTTGGGCCATGCCCTGTGGGTATTCGGAGGACAGGACCCAGGTCCCAGGATTGCGGCTGAACCAAATCTTTATCTTATTGCGAATTTTATTAGGTAGGCGTATATGAATATGTGCGTGGGTATGGTGTCGCGTTCATTTTAGCTCCGAGTAGAGGGGCACGTCAATTGGGGGGGGGGGGGGGGAAATAAAACAATAAATCACCTCGCTCTCATACGAGCGTCATCTTGTAGTGAACAGGCCGACTTCGCGGTTTGAGCGCCCAGCGCAGACCGACCGACCGCAGGGGGGGTCCGGTCGGCGGCCGCGGAAGACCGCAAACCGCAGGGGGGGTCCGGTCGGTCGGAGCGCAGACCGAGGGGGGGGTCGGTCGGGTTGGCTCGAGGGTCACACCGCACACGCTCGCCGCAGCTGTGAATAAATTAGTATCTCGAAATACTAGAGACACCAAGCGACCTCTCCCCGTCTAATCACTCCTCGTGACGTCGTCCGAGTTGCTGAGCTCGAGACCGCGCTCAGGATTGGGTCGGAACACGAGCTCGTCCATGTCCACGCTCTGGTCGTCGTCGTCGTCCATGATTAGCTTCGCCGGCGACACACTGTAGCCGTTGACGAGCCGCTTGAGCGCGGCCAGCACCTCCTTCTGCCGGCCGCGCGCCCACGGGGGCAGCGTGCAGTAGAACTCCTCGAAGGTGAACTGCTCCTCCTCCGACTCCAAGAAGAGGTCCACCTCCCCCTCTCCACCTCCGTCGTGAGGTTGATCTGTAGCTTGAGGGGTGTGTCGCTGCTGTCGCTGTCCTCGTCCTCGTCCTCGTCCTCGTCCTCGTCCTCGTCCTCCGCCTCCGCCTCCTCCTCCGCCTCCGCCTCCTCCTCGCCCTCGCCCTCGTTCTCCGAATCGGACGGATCGCCTAAGCTCTGCCCGCGCGAAAATTTGGAGACGTGAAGACCGGGTGCGAGGCAGATCATGTTGCCGGCATAGCTCTGCCCGCGCGCAACGCGCAGCATGTCGCGATTAACTGAGTTGCTCCAGAAGCGGCGTCCATCGATTGCCATTCGCTGTCGCTTGGGCGACTCGGAAGCCGATGAGCCCGGTGACGGCGGCGGCGATGTGTCGATCCACTCTGGCAAGTCATCGTAGTCATCGGAAGGGACGATGCGCGGTGACTAGTTTTCATAGTGAAAACCGGCGATTTCAAAGCGCCCGTGGCGGTTCGCGAGAAGGAGGGAGAGCGTTTCAGGGGGCTCACGGCAAGGACACCGACCGAGGGGGGGGGTCGGTCGTCACACCTCCCGCCGCCGAGAGAGCGACCGACCGGAGGGGGGGTCCGGTCCACCTCGGGGGCAGATCACCGACCGGCGGGGGGGTCCCCACGAAGTAGGGGGGGGTGGGTACAAAGTGACGCTCGTATCACAGAGTGATTTGGGCTCGGCAGCTTGTCAGCCCTCAGCCGAAGCTGGGGCCGGTCCCGTAGGCGTAGCCGAGAAGAGAGCCCGCGCCAGTGAGTTCGACGCGGTCGAGGGGAGAGGCCTTGCGGAGAGGCCAGCGAGCCGGCGATCGCTGTACTTCATGGTGGTCATCAAGTGACCGGCTGAGCCATTGACGTGCAGCGGACCGCCCGGCTTGCCGGCGAGGCGGCGTGAGCGGCGCGGCGGGGCAGGAGAGAAAACCCGTGGGCCTCCTTACCCGCGTTTTTCTTTCTTTCTAAAATGCTCCTTTAGGAGTCTTTAGGCGGCTCTCGGTCGAGGAGCGCGACGAGGTGGTCGCGGCGCTCGTGGCGGAGTTCAAGGCGGGGGAGCGGGAGGGATTGCGTTGCTGGGACGCTGGGCGCGGTTCTGTTTGCGGTGTCCCATTCCCGGGGTGGGAGGATTGGGTGAGGGAGGGGCGGGTCCTCCTCTTTGAGGGGGACCTGGAGGAGTTGCGGAGCGGCCCGGCCCGCGGCGCTGGCGGGGGGGGCAGGAAGTCCCGCGACGGGCGCCGGCGGGGGGCGCGGCGGTAGCGACGGGGGGGGGAGGGGATGGAGTCGGAGGATGATGGGGATGGTCCTCTCGGCGAGCACCACGGTGCTCGCGGATTCGACCATCCGCCTGACTAACTACCATTCCGACGACGCCTTCTGTGAGGAGGACGGCATCTGTGAGGGCGACGGCTTCTAAGCCGTCGCCTTTGCAGTGCCAGTCCCGTACCCGGTGTCGTGCGAGGGAGTTTTGCTGTAAAATTCTTTCTAAAATGAAAAAGAAATCGCGCCCACACGCCGGGCCTCTCGATAGTCCGCCGCAAGCCTCTTTGTCCGCCGCTCGTCTCGGCTCGCCAGAGAATATGCGACCGCGACTGCCGCGGTCGTCTGCAACCGCTCCGCCGCGACGTTTCGTCGGAGTTTCGTTCACAACCGCCGCCGCTTGTTGCGCCGTCGCTGTCTTGTGGGCATCTCGAGGTGGCAACAATGCACGGCAGCCGTCACCGCGGAAGCGTGGGCCTGCGACGCCGCTGCACTTCGCCGCGCAAAGGGGTGAGCTCGAGACCGCGCGACGTTTGTTGCAGAGTGGTGCGCTTGTGGATGCATCGACCAAGCTCGGCGCCACGCCGCTGCATGTCGCAGCCGAGCAGGGCAGGTTCGAGCTGGTCCGGCTCCTCCTGGACGCGGGCGCAGCGCTCGATGCGCAGACGGATGCCGGCCTCAGTCCGCTGAGCTTTGCGGCCGAGCAGGGTGGAGTGGACATTGCGCGACTCTTGCTCGACAGCGGTGCGGACGTGGGTGCTTGCACTCACACCGGACACACGCCACTGCACATTGCGGCCCAAAAGGGCGGGCTGGACGTGATGAGCGTGCTGCTGTCTCACGGCGGAGACACCGACGCGAGGACGGGCTTGGGCCACACGCCGCTGCACCTCGCGGCTCTCACAGGCGAGTCCGACTCGTCACGGCTGCTGCTAGCGCGCGGCGCCGACGCAGACGCGCGCAACGCGCAGTCGGGTCACACGCCGTTGCACGTCGCGGCGCAGATGGGCCGGCAGCAAGTCGCAAAACTGCTCCTCGGCCTCGGCGGCGCGAATGTGGACGCCAAGACGCTGATGGGCCACACGCCGCTGGCCGTCGCCCTAGAGGAGGGCAATGACGAGCTGGCGCGCCTCCTGCTGTCCAAGGGAGCGGATGCGTCGGCCAACGACAGCCGCGGCATCACGCCTCTGCACGTGGCGGCCGGGCGCGGCGCTTCAAAAATGATCGCGGAGCTGCTCCGCCGCGGCGCCGAGGTGAACGCGCGCACCTCGTTTGGCCTCTCGCCTCTCGACCTCGCCGTCTACAGGGCGCCCACCGCAGGCGGCGCTCCGCTCGCCGGCGGCACTCTCTCGGCCGACGGCTCGCCGGGCGCCGGTGCCAAGGTGCTCCGCCTGCTGGATCCGCTCCCGGCGGTCGAGGCGCTGCTCGACGGCGGTGCGGCGGTCGTGACGGCCCACCCTTGGACCGGCCAGACGGCGCTGCACGCGTTTGCGTATCTCGGCCGCGAGGCATGGAGCGAGCTGATGCTGCGCAGAGGCGGCGAGCGCGCGGCCAGCGACGACGCGCGGTGCCACGTCCATCGCGGCGACGGCCTCGAGCAGCGTGCGCAGTCGACGGGCCGGCTGGCGCCCGCGACGCCGCAGCGCCTCGCGCGCCTGCGTGGCGCCGCCTCCGAGGCGTACCGCGCGGCGATCCGACTCGCGCCGAGCAGCGCCACGGCCTACGAGCGGCTCGGCGCTGTCGAGGCGCGGCTTGCGGACTCGCTCGGCGAACACCAGGTCGAGTTCTCGCCCCAACTTCGGTCTCTATCACACACCCCCACCCCACACCCGCGCATCACACAGTCTCTATCACACCCCCCACCCCACACCCGCGCATCACAGGTGCGCAGCCTGACGGCATTTGAGCACGCGTGGCGCCTCCGACCGGAGGGCGGGGCGGGCATGGCGGCCTTTGCGCGGGCAGGAGTCGACATGGCCCTCGCCGGCATCGGCGCGCACGAGGCGGCCGCACGCCCGGCGCGGACGGTGGGCGAGCTTAGCGTGAGGGACGCCGGCGCGGCGGGCGCCACGCGACGTGCCCTCAGTTTGTGGCGCACGCAGGGCGTCGTCGTCTTCCCCGCGCTCCTCGCGCCCGCAGACGTGCGTGCGCTGCAGTCGCACGCGCGTGCCGACGGCGCCGAGCAGGAGGCGCCGGTGGACCGCACCGCCAACATCCGCTCGCCCGCCAACCGCACGCTTCGGGCGATCCCGGTCGCGCACGCCGCCGAGGCCCTCTCGGCGCTCGCGGCAAGGCTCGACTCGTTCCTCGGCTACGCGCTGCAGAGCCGCCGCCGCCTACTCCTCGAGATTGGGCTGATGCGCGTGCTGGCGGGTGCGGCCGACCAAGGGTGGCATCGAGACGACGGCATCCTTGATGGGCGCATCGCGTCCGTGCAGATCGCCCTCGTCGACACGGCGGCGGAGCAGGGCGCCCTCGAGGTGCTACCCGCGAGCCACACGCACACGGAGAAGCCTGATGAGGGCGCGGACGGCGTGGCGGTGGCCGTGCCCGCCGGCTCGGTCACGGTGTACACGCCGAACGTGGTGCACCGCGGCAGGGCCAACGCGCTCCGCGAGACGCGCTTGTCGCTCGTGCTCACCGTGATGGGGGCGAGCGGTTTGGTGCCCAACGGTATCCCGCTTGCCGTCCAGCCGGAGGACGCGGGGCGATGGTGGCTCGAGGGAGGAGAGTTGCGCGAGGTGGACCCAACGGGCGGAGAGCATTAGCGTCGTCCCGTGACCCCTCAGAAACGTGAAACGCGGCGCTGCGTGAGAGAACAAAAAAGAAATCGCCAGGCCCCGCCCGACGTCACCCGCCGAGAGCGTCGTCCGACGATGCGCGACCCATCGCCCTTGCTCGCCTCAAGGCCGTCGCGCCGCTACCTCAACCCGAGTCACAAGCCCGCGTGGTATGCGGCTCGGCAAAAGACAATCACTCGCGCCCAGAAGCGGGTCGAGCGCAGGCTGTGGCCGATCTTCGGCCTCGCCTTCGCCTTTGACCGCCGCATCGATCTAGACGCCGCCTTTGGCCGCTCCGCTGTGGACCGCTCGGCGCTCGTGCTTGAGATTGGGTGCGGCTCCGGCGAGGCGCTGTGCTCGCTTGCGGCGTCGCACCCGGACGCCGACTTTGTCGGTGTCGACTGGTTCCGAGGCGGGCTTGCTGCCGCCATGCAGGGCCTCGACGAGGCTGGTGCCGCCGCCAACGCGCGGCTGGTGCGGGCGGACGCGGCGACTCTGCTGCGCGACGGCCTGGAGGCGCGGCGCGCGCTCGACGAGGTGCTCGTCTTCTTCCCGGACCCGTGGCGCGGCTCCGAGGGGAGGCGTATCGTGCGACCCGAAGTGGTGCAGTCCCTCTCGCCGCTTATGCAGGACGGCGGCCGGCTGCACCTCGCAACCGATGTCGAGGGCTACGCCGACGAGGCACGCGCGGTCCTCGCGAGCTGCTGCGACGCGGAGGCGCGCTGGGAGGAGGTGGCGTGCGACTGCTGCCTGCCGCGGCCGTCGACCAAGTATGAGCGCGACGGGATCGCGGCGGGGCGGGGCGTGAACGACGTGTGCTGGAGGTTTGTGCGAGGGAGCGTCGTGCGCGGCTGCGGGGACTGAAAGGTCCGCGTGCGCCATCGGTAACCCCCCCCCCCCCTTCCTTTTTGCTTTTACCCTCCCGAGAGAGGTGGGTCGTTTTATGTATTGTTTGCACTCATCACTTGACACGTATGATATTCCACACATCATGCATGTGTTGTACAGACACAGACACGAACCGAATACACAGCAGAACCTCACATATTACACGGTAAGCGCCGTCACCGCGGCGCCGCCCATCCGTCCCAAGGCAGCGGCCCGCCATACGGGAGGCGCAAGCACTGCGAGATGAGCGGCGCGAGCGCAGGGCAGCCGAGCGGGTAGCTGACAGTCCGGCGGAACGGGTTGCGCGCCTCCCGCTTTGCGCGCAGCCCGGCGTCGTGGCAGCCTGCGTGTTGAGTACACCAGCATATCAGGGTGGCGGGAATACAGCTGTGCGCCGAGTCTTCGGAGCGCCGCGTGGATACGAGGGGTACGAGTACGGTGAATACAGCGGAATGCGGCCGAAGACAGCGGATACGTGTCCTCTCGAGCGCCACCAGGAGTACAAGAATACGTCTTCCGCTTCTAGGCGGCGCTGCCATACGGGTCCGACTCAAACGGCTTTGCGGAGTGCGCCGTCTCGCCCTGGGTCACGGCGGCGGTCAGGCCGGGCGGGTCCACGCCCACAAAGTGGAAGCGGTGGCGCGGGAAGCGGAGCGCGGCGCGGTGCAGCTCCTGGAAGCGCCGCCGCTTGAAGCCGAAGGAGACCACGGTGATGGTCTGAGGGTAGCGGCCCGTGAGCTCGTTGAAGCGGCAGACGGAGAAGAGCAGGTTCTCGAGCGAGTCCCGGGCTTGCTCCTCGAGGTGCACCCGCGGCTGCACCTGCGGCAGCCCGAACCATCCCTCCGCCTCGGCCGCCTCCCAGTAGGAGAGCGCCTCAGAGCGCGGGCCGGCGGCGGCGCGGGTCTGCCCTCCCGAGAAGAGGACGAGCGAGCGGTTGTCGGCCGCGGCGAGCTCGACCCCCTTGTGGATGTGCTCGATCATCGTCGTCAGCTGCCCGTGCTGGAACGGCTCGAGGAACCACGACGCCTCGCGCTCGACGGCACCGCCTCCGTGGTCGAGCGCTGTGAACACGGCGTGGCCGGCGACGACGACGAGGTGCGTGGCGCGTCGCAGCGCCTCCTCGGGCGGAGGGAGCAGCGCGTCGGCGGCGGCGGAGCTGCTGCCCGCCGCGTGCACGTGCTCCTCCGCCTCGCGCAGCACCGCCGGCAAAACGAGCGTGGCAGCGGCGCACAACGCCGCAGCGACAACCTTGTGGCGCCGTCTCCACGACAACTTTGGGAAGGGCCTGCCGCTGCCCATGAGAGGCGCTGTCTCCTCTCGCATAAAGAGGCCGCGCAAAGCGGCGAGTTGTGCCACGTGTGGTCGCGCAAAAGGCGGAAAAAAGCAGAAAAGAATTTACCCGGCCGCGCACAACACTGGGCACGGGACAGTCAGAAATGTGGTCCTTGCGCGAGGGGAGCTCGATAGACTCGAGGGGCCAGGATACGCCGCGAGGAGGACGGAGTTGCGCCGAAAGGCAAAAGAAACCGCGAGAACAAGGGACCGGCAGGCGGCGGCGTCACAGGACGAGGCAGAAGAGAACGACGCGACAGAGGAGGAAATGACAAGGGAGAGAACGACGAGAGTGGGACGACCGCGAGGTGGCATGAAGGTTGCAGCGAGAAGCGGCGAGAGACTGCGAAGAGAGATAGGAAGAGGCAGACTCCCTAGGGTGGGCGACGGCTAGCGCACCACACACCTCTCCTTAAAATCCCTGTGTGGTGGCGGCGTGCCGTCCTCCCATCCCTCCCTTGGGTTGTCTGTTTTCTTTCTTTTCTTTTGAGCCAGTCCCGTGCCCAGTCCTGTGCCCAGTGTTGTGCGAGGGAGTTTTGTTGTAAAATTCTTTTCTTTTCTGGGCACGGGACTGGCGCGCACTGGCACTAACACAGGTACACCACAGAAAAGAATTTTGACGCAGGTGAATCAAAAGGACGAGTGGGGCAGCTGTCTGTTTACAGGCGCTGGTCGCCCGCGCGCGCCGGACCGGCTCCGGCACGTCCGGCGCTGGGCGGCGCGCGTCCACACTGCGCGAGCGCGTCGCGCAAAACGAGTGACGGCTGACGGCTGACGGCGGACGTATGGGCGGACGGCGGAGGCGAACGGCGACGGCTCGGCTCGCGTTCGCTCCGCGAAGGTGCGACTGAGCCTGCCGCGCTCAATCTGGGAGCCACTCGGCGCCAGTTCGAGCGGCGGTCGGCTCGGCCACTGCGGGGCGATGCATGATAACAAAACAATCTCTCTCTCTGCATGATAGAGCATGCTGGGCGCCGCATCCAGGGATGGTGCACTAACGTTAACAGCTTAACACGGTGTTCAAACGTTAACGGTTAACACCGGTCACCGCAGCCGTAGAGGTGTTCAAACGTGTTAACACCGCCCCTCGGGAGGTGTTGACACGCTCCGTTACGCGTTAGATGCGAGTTTGGCGCGAATTCTTTGTTTGTGCTTGCTGCATGCATGCATGCAACACCAAATTGGTATTGCTAAAAATCTCTCTCTCTGCATGCAAGCAAGCTAGAAGAAGATCTCTCTCTGCAAACTGGTCTTCGTTCGAGCACCAGGAATGCAGCGGTACACAGCTGCAAGCAATGCAATTTTTTTTTGTGTGCTTGCTTCCGGGTGGCCGCGCCATTTGTTGCGGTCGCCTTGCAGCCATGCGATGCTAACGAATAAAAAAAAATACGCCCTTTAGGCCTCCTTCTCTCCTCAACGGGCATGATACTGCGCCTCTTCCGCTCGGCCATCTCCTCGCCGCGCCTGCCGCGCCTCTCCTCCCTTGCCGGCTACAGCGGGCTCGAGCTGAGCCTTCCGCAGCTCGAGGACGCGTCGGCGCCGCTCGAGGAGTGTGCGAGGCGCTCCCTCCGCGTCATCTGCCGGCTCGGCCCGGTGGCGGACGCGTGCGACGCTGAGGCGCAGCTCCACCGCCTCTCCTCCACGCTCCGCCGCCACACGGCCGACGCCGCGGCGGCGGTCGAGCTCGTCCTGCTTCAGGCGCCGGCAGCGAACCAGGACGCCACGCACGACTACCTGCGCGCGATCCAGCCCGTGTGGTCGGAGTTCCTCGAGGAGCACACGTCCGTCGGCAGCCGACCCTAGAAGCGGAAGCCGTGGTCCTGTATTCCGACCCGAGAAGCGTTTCTTGCATTCCAACAACCGCGCTCGAGAGGACACGCACTCCGCTGCATCGACCGTATTCAGCTGTGTATTCAGCTCTTTCCCTTCCCTTCCCTTCACGCGATCCGTCTCTGGATACATGGCGCGAGACCATCTTTTCGCCCCGAGATTGGTTTGTCAATGGCGTAGGCAGCCGGCACGGGCGCGTCAACGCACATGGCAGCCCGCTCAACCACCACGCGCTCTAATTAATGATTAAGAGTGCGTGTGAGCTAGTCATTATTAATTAGGCAACCCGCTCAACCACCACGTACTCGGTGTCTGCCACCTTCTGACGTCGGCCGACGGTGCGGCGCTCCGCGCCGCCGGCCTCGCGGAGGCTGTCGACATCTACTCGCCCACCCGCCTCGCGCTCACCGCTCGCCACCTCGCCTCCGCCTCCGCCTCCTCCGCCTCCGCCTCCTCCGCCTCCGCTTCCTCCGCCTCCGCCAGCCTGCCGCCCACGGGCTTCGCCGGCATCGGCGAGGAGATGGAGGCGGTGGTGGAGGCGGCGGACTTGCTGTGCGCAGACGCGGCAGAGATTGCGGCTGCGGACGAGGCGTCGCTGTGGCCGCTAGTGGATGAGGTCTGGGCCGCCCAACAGCTGAACGGCGCCACGGAGGTGTACGCAGTCTGCAGCGCCGGCGGGGCGGGTGGGGGCGGCGAGGCGGGCGAGGAGGCGGCGGCGGCGGCGGTCGCGGCGCTCCTGCACCGCCGCTTTGAGGAGACGTCCTCCTGGCGCGCAGGCGCCGCCGAGATTACCCGAGATTGCCCGAGATTGCCCGAGGTGAGGAGACGTCTTCGGCGCGCTGGTCGCCCCCCTCCCCCTAAATGCGAGAGGGATGTCGGCGACCGACTTTCTTGTTCAGCTGTTTCTGTTTCTTTTGTTAGGGGCAGCCGAGCGGAGGTCGGCGCAGGAGACGGCGGAGCGCGCGCGGCGGCGGTCCGATGCGGCCGGGGGGCTGGGGCGCGCGGCGGCGGAGTTTGGCTTCTCGCCGCTCGAGCTGGACGGGCTCTGCCGGGCGAGCCTCAAGGAGCGGTGGAGGCGCCTCGCCCTCGCGGCGCACCCCGACGTGGCGGGCGGCAGCGGCGCGCGCTTCCAGACGCTGAGGGCGGCCTACAGGGTCTTGATGCGAGCGGTGTGAGATCTGTACCCCAATCATCCTCGCATACCTGTACGCACGGCGTTCCGCGACTCCACGATTTTTCGCGGCAGTTTTTTTCTCTTTGCGAGCCGCAGTGGAGGCGACAGGCGTGCATTTGTGTATATATAGTATATCCACAATCCACCTACGAGACCCTAGGAGTAGGACCTACGACCCACCAAAGACGACATCTCGGACACTTGGTCGATTGGGAGCGAGACTGCTCACCCAGCAAAACAAATTCGTTGTGTGTTATCAGAGAGAGATTTTTGAAGACCAACAAGAAATCACGACCTTCACAGTGATTTGAGAGAGAGATTTTTGAAAACCCCTTGGTTCATGAGAGCCGCCGTTCACGGCCTTTCACGAACTGGCAGTCGAAGGTTGAGTGCGCTTTTTCATGCCTTCCCCCTGACCGCGTTTTGATGGGCCTCTTTAACAAGAAAGGGAAGAGAGGGCTGCCGCCCAAGCTCGGCAAGAAGTCGGAGACGTCCTCCTCCGTCTCCGATCCCCCTTCCGTCGCCTCGACACCGCGCGATCCCCCCTCCATCGCCTCGACGCCGCGCCCCGAGGAGGAGCCAACCGTGGAGCCAGCCGTGGAGCTGGCCGTGGAGCCGGCAGTCGTGCCGGCCGCGGAGTCTGCCGTGGAGCAAGAGGTGAAGGCGGCGTCCGACCGGGACAGCGCGGCGCAGAACGCGCAGGCCGAGCCAGCCGCTGCCGCAGCCGTGGCGGTGGAGGAGGAGGCTGCGGCTGCGGCAAGGGCGGAGGAGGCTGCGGCGGAGGAGGCTGCGGCTGCAGCGAGGGCGGAGGAGGCTGCGGCTGCGGCGAGGGCGGAGGAGGCTGCGGCGGATGCGGCTGCGGCCAAGGCCTCTGCAAAGCCGCCAACCTCGGCGGGGAAGTCCCGCAGCCTAAGAGAGCTGTCGGGCGAGGCGAAGGCAAAGGCCGCGGCGGCGTCCACGGCCCAGGAGGCGGAGGACAGGGAGACCGAGAAGTCGTCGCCGAGTGAGCGCGAGCTCTGCGACGAGGACGAGGAGAACGACCGCCGTTCAATCTTTGCGCGCTACTCGATGGCGTCAAAGGAGGTGGCTCGCAAGCGCGCCAAGACGATGGCGGCGTCGTGGGAGGCGGACGCGGCGGCGGAGCAGGCAGCGATGGAGAAGTCCCTCGCCGCGCTGCGTGTGGACGCCAAGGTGCCGCACCGACCCCGACCCACCCACCGTCGACCCCCCCCTCGACCCCGGCGCCCGTCCCCAGCCCCACCCACCCCCTCCCCCCCTCTCCCGGCCTCAGGCCTACGCAGAGGAGGCGTGGGTGCGGGCCCGCGCGTCGTCGGAGTCGCGCCGCCGCAGGACGAGCAGCGTCGCTTCCGTCTTCGACAAGGAGCCTCCGGCCGCCCCCAAGAAGGAGGTGCCGCTCCTCGACAAGATCTCGAACTTCTTTGTCGGCGGCGCAAAGGCGGAGCCGGCACGACCGCCGCCGCCGCCGGCGGGGTCGGTCGAAAAGGAGTACGACGCCCCCTCGCCGATGACGCTGTCGCCGAACTCCACGGCGGCGAACTCGCGTGTCAACACGCCGCGGCCAAGCGAGCCTGAGAAGCCGGCGGACGAGGCGGAGGCCAAGCCGTGGTGGCAGGTGTGGTGAAGAGAGTGTGGCAGGCTGGCGGCCATGTTGGCGGCGCCTCCAATCCCCACCCGGACCAGTCCTGGATGGCTGCGGTGCGGGCCAACCTGCGTGTGGGGTGTGTCGATAGTCGAGAGCGAGCGAGCGCGTGCAGCGAGTGAGGAGTGTGTCACAGCCGTGAGCGACAAAACCGAAGACGGCGAAGTCCGAATGCGAATCCCTGCTCAGTGCTCGCTCATCGGACTTTATTTTGTTAGTCGTTTCGGACTTTTCATATTTGCTGTATTTTTCGCGGCGGCCGGCCATGTTGTTGTTGATGTTCCGGGTTCCGCCGATTGCGACATATTCATTAACGATGGCTAGTGCCATTTCACTCTGACACGCTAATCTTGAAAACGTCTCCAACGGAGCTCCGTGTTGCATCCAGCGCCCTCCCCCGCGCTCCCTGCGGCCATGGCCGATGATCCTAGTATGAGAGGTCATCTGGCTACCGCGAGAGCGACCCAACTCGTCGACATCGTCCGATGATGGTGCCGCAAAGTCAGCCTTCGGAGGCTATCGTGGGGTCGAGCCGGCAGTAGCCGTGACATGTGGTTCCACCACCCCTCGTAGGCTTTGCCTCTGATCGCCACCGTTCCCAGGCTGCCTAACGGGATGGAAAGGAAGGCTCGGCGAGCGTATAGAAGCGTGCTCGACCTCGTCGTGGCAGCCTGCACGGCAGCGCTGGCGGGCGCGATGAGCGTCGTGCCACCTGACCCGAGACGGGTCGCAGGCGTCGTACTGAGCGCGTCGAGACCGTGTCCTGATGTGATCTGCACGGGTAAATCACGTCGGCGTCAAAGGAGCGACGTGCGACCTGTCAGAGCTTGATCTCCGATCTCAGCGGCGTCGAGTCGTCTCCGGCGCGCAACAAATGTACCTCCCCAGGACGCGCAGAAGGCAGCTGCGATCGGCGATAGAGCTCTGACAGGTCGCACGTCGCTCCTTTGACGCCGACGTGATTTACCCGTGCAGATCACATCAGGAC